CTATGTAGAGGGGACACATACACCCTTCTAGAGGGACCCCAGAACATTCTGTCAAAATGGAGCCATTAATAGTCAAATTCAAGAAACAAACCTACTTAGCAGTTTGGGTTCATTCTAAAAAACAGAGGAAGCAGTGCTTTGCTGCTTTACTTTTAATAGCACGGGTTGTCATGCCAACTAGTGCTGCTATTTAAATTGAAGGGGGAAGAAAGAAGTGTTCCTTCCTACACAAACCTTTCAGCAGGGCTCACAATTAGTCTTTTAAAAACATGAAAACTCATTGCACTGGAGATATGGTAAACATTGTGCTTATATTTAAACCTGTCGGAATGAGGATGTGATAAACCTCTGGTTTGTATTTCCTTTGTACAATGCTCCTTGCCCAGTATCTGGCTGCGTGGTGCCCTAAAAAGAAGAAAGGCATTCTGTGGGCACATGCCAAGGCAGCCGATCTTGGGATGGGAGAGGAACCGTCCATTCGGAATAAACACCACTGAAGAAAGAGACAGAGAGGACAGTTTTCTCGCCAGAGTGGCTCTGCTCCCCCCTGGAAGGCACAGTTCCTAAAAGGCTGGGTCTGCACCATGCTGCAGGACACACCAGAGGTGTCAACGACAGCGGGGGAGAAGATGACAAGACGCGCTAGGCACCGTGGCAGAGGGGCCCCGTCCTTCCCCCCATCAGTGTAGGAGTGCCGAGGGGCCCAGCTCAGCCGGGCAGGCGAGCCAGCGGAAGGAGAACGTGCTGTGTCTGATGTGGTGTGTTGATGTTGTCTGGGGACAAGAGAAGGCAGGAAGGTCTGAGGCAGGGGGAGGACGTAAGGCATCTTCTCTCCCAATAGCCTGGCCATTGTTAACTTCTGTTTCTAAAAGGATCCAGCTGGTATAAAGGAAGATCTGTGCAGTGTCGCTGAGGCTGGGGGGACCTGCTCATGGACCAGCCGAAGGGGTCCTGTCCCAAGACGTTGGGGGGCTGACAACCTGGCCCCATGCTTTCTGTTCAGCATTCTCTCTTACCTCTCTTCCGTGAGAGCAAGCCCTTGGCTCCCGGATCCTCAGGCCTCATGCCCTCGTACCCCCAGGGTCTTGAGGATGAAGGTGTCTCTCTGCTCTGAGACTTTCTGATTCCTATCGGCCCTTGATGTACCAGCAGTTTCTCCTCTCCCAAGGGCACCCCAACCTCTTAAATGTGGCTGCAAGCCCCCTGGTCCGTTCACCTGAAAGGAACACACCTTGCACTCACCAGTCTTCTCTAATCAGTTGTCTTTTCGTGTCTTTCTGTTTCATCTCCAACTAGACTGGAAGTTTCTGGAAGCCAAAAAGACCTTCTTCTTTGTGCTTCCCCTGTGCCCGGCAACTCCTGGGCATACGCTGGTGGGAACAGCGCAGCAGCATCCAGCTGCCATGTAATAAGCTCCACTCAGTATCACGTAGCAAGTGTCGGGCTCTGTTCTGAGTACCTTACCTAGTTTAACGAATAGCCTCACAATGACCTGAGATAGGTATGGCTACTGTCCCCATTTTACAGAAGGAAAAACCAAGGCATAAGGGGTTAACAACTTGCCAGGATCACACAAGTGTAATCTGTGAGTGGCAGACCCAGAATCCAAAACCAAGCCCCCGAACACAAGGGCCGGGGCTCAGGACACGCTAGGTCGCTGACCTGGGTTTGGGGGCTGTCCTCAGACAGAGACGGCGTGGAGTGCCAATGGAGGGGAGAAAAATGAGTGGGAATATCTACAATAGCACACATATGACACTACCTCATTCCTTGAAACTTGCATAAATGTACGTGCATTTACTCATAAAGAGATACGTGCAAAGACAGTCTCAACGACGTCAAGGGGTAGTCTATCTCAGGAGGGCGGGACTCTAAGTGACATTTATTTCCTTTTCCATACTTGTCTGTATTGTTTAATGCTTCAAGGAGTCTGCAAGGTGCTGCATATTGCAAAAAAGATAACCGATGAGGTCACTTTCACTATGCGAGGAAAAGGAAAACAAAACAAAAGAAAAAGAAAAAAAGAGTGGGGGATGGGAAGAAGAGCCATCAAACGTTTCTGCACAGAAGGGTGGCGGCCACTCTTGGTGTCTCAGAAAGATCATTTTGGCCACCATGCAGGAGGCGGGGACAGAGACTGACTATACGACCACGATGAATGACAGCTATGACAATCACTCACACTCACGGGGCCCCCAGAAGTAGCACAGGAAGTTTAAAATCCAGCTGTCCCCACGGAAGCACTACTCCCCAGAGTCAAATGCTCACCACCAGATAAGTGGGTGAACAAACTGTGCTGGATCTACACAGCAGAATGTCATTCAACCGCAAGAAGGAATGAGTCCCGATACGGGCTACAGCACGGGTGACCTGAAAACATTCCGCTGAGAGAGGCCAGACACCAAAGGTCACTAACTGGATGGTTCCAGTTATAGGAAATACCCCAGATGGGTAAATCCATAGAGTCAGAAAGCAGATTGGTAGTGGACAGGGACTGGGGGAGGCGGGTGGGGGACAACTGCTTACTCGGGACGGGGTCTCCTTCTAGGATTTGATAGAGCTGATGCCTGCACTGCAGTGAATGTACCGAATGCCACTGAATTATATACTTTAAAATGGTTACGTTTATGTTACGGGAGTTTACCCCAATGAAAAAACAATACAGTTAGCCTTTTAACCTAAAGCCCTGAGAAAATGGAAGGGCAGATGAGAAGGAAAAAAAAAAAAGAAGAAGAAAAAGAAGACGAAAATGCCAGCAAATGAAGGAAGCAGGACCCTCAGCCTGGGACCAGAGGAGAGAGGGTCTGTGCTCAGCCAAGGTTGGACCTTCTGAAACTGAGCACCCAGATGCCAGCCGCTTTCTCCTAGATAGGACCTATTTTAGTTAAAAGATCTGAGATGACATGCCATCAAATGTTTGCTGGGGAAGCTCCAAATGCAAAACTAAGTAGAAACAGCAAGGTTGAAGCCATGTAGTCAAATGCTTTACTACTGGAAACAGACCCTGCCCTCCCCAGCACCAGCCACAGCAGAGGACAGCTGCCTGCAGCTTGGCTGCCTCCCCCTGGACTAGGGGCCGCTCGTGGGCAGGGCCCATGCCTCACGCATGGCGGTATCCCAGCCTTAATCACAGCCCCTGGCTCAGAACAGGGGACCGCATATACATGTATTACACAAATGAATGTCCTCCATTGTGTCTATCTTATCAACTGATTGTATATTTAGTAGATAAAACAAAGATATGGTATAAAATCCATAAGCTTTAAGGAATGTACAGTGGTAAATTTCCCTTTCTCCCACCCTTGTACTCCATCACCTACGAGGCAACCTCTGGCCCTGTCCCCATCGCTTTAAATGTGACCAGTGCAGTGAAATTCTGAATCGCAAAAGCTCCAGCAACCAATCGGACCACCTAGTGACTCGGGCGTCAGGTCATTCCCACAAGGTGGAAGCTACATGTGATACCAAGATGAAAGTCACTGGCGTGAAAACAAGGCCCCAGTATTCCGTCCTGGGAGGAGGCACATGCCAGCCTTGCAGAGGAATGCTGCTAAGGTGACAGCCGTCCCCCTACAGTCATTCATGGCATGACGAGAAGTCCGTGGACAGGAGCCAGGCAGCCAGCCAACCACGCCAGCCAACTCAAGCTCCTCACACCTGGTTCTGACATCCGAGAAGTTCAAGCTGAGGAAAGGCCATGCTGCTACATGATGGGATGAAAGGAGACATGCCAACTGCAACCAACCTCGGACCCAGAGAGATGGTTTCTTTAGTGGTTTGTCTAGAGGAAAAAAAGTTCACCTGAAAAGGACTCAACTGGGAGCTGGGTGGCACGGTCTCCATGGACGGACCCCACGGTGGACAGAGCAGACAGGCACCAAGCTGGCTGGGAGGGGAGGGTCCCAGGAAACGGAAGCATGCAGAGTGGGTAAGAATCTGGGCAGAGTCCCAGGGGGTGAGCCATGTGTGACAGGAACATCCGGGCACACTGCTTTATCTAGCCAGACTGAGAGGGGCTTTTTTTGAAGACTGAGTAACCATTGCCCTGAAGAGTCACCAAACTGAAGACTAAAAAAAGACCCGAGCCACGCAGGCTCATTTGTCCTCCAAGGCTCCTGCCTCATGTGGCAGGCTAGGGGATGAGCTGGGCGCTCATCTGATTCCAGCCAATGTGTTACTATGTTTCATTCCCTGTCCCCATGCCCGGAGGCTGCTGCAATGGGTATAAATTTAGAAAGAAAAAGATAAATAACATGGAAAAGTCCACTTTAACAAAATGAGTTGTTTTCTTTCTTTCTTTTTACTCCACTAAAGAAAGGATAAACCGATCGTGTTACTTATTCAGCCCACACCCTGGTGGAATTTGGTATTCTGGGCAGTAGCTCGATAATGCATGACCGCAGCCCGAGATTAACTAGGCTCTTCTGAAAACTGTAAAACAGTCAAGCTTCCATCCTCAGTGTTTTTTAGAAGCTGAAGGAACAAAATGACAGGACCTCGCACAAGATCTGTAATCAACTTGGGTCTCTTCTGAACAAGCAAAAGCCTTTAAATGAAGACCGTGCTTATTGACACGGATGCCAATACCAGCTCACCTGACAATACACTGTGCCTGATGGTGCCATTCCATCAGGAGTTACACATCGATGTTTTAAACAAAGTAAAACCGGCTTTCTAAGGGAATTAGGATCACAGATGGGAGATTTTGGGTGATGGCAGAAATTACCCTGCAAGAGAAACTGCTTGAGAAATGCTTGCCTTTCCTCACATGCAAACTCAAAGCCAGTGGGTTTAGGGGCCACTGGTAGAAAGTCGCCACCAGTGAATTCCATGATCCAATCATCTAGCCCAATTCCCGTTTCACAGAGTGAAGTGACAGGCCAAGGTCACACGGCTGCCAGGGACAGAGGGGTCAGGACCTGGTCTCACAGCTCTTCCCAGTGCTACTTCTGCTAGTGCCCCACCCCCCAACCTGGAAGTACCAGACTCAAGGGCTCTACCTCCGACAGCATCTCATACTGGCCTCTTCTTCCAAGGGCAATGGTCAGTAAATCATAGACCACAGATGCACTCTGCAAGCTGATGAGGCGGTCACTCTTGTGCTCGGGTATTCTGCTCAGCACAGCGTCCCGGTTGGCCTGAAAACAACACAGAAGAGAGAAGCAGATGGTGAGCCAGCCCAGGCTCATGGCTATCATTTTGTGGAGAGAAGCCATCTAGGCCCTCCTGCCCCTAAGGGCTTTTGCCAAGGGCCTGGAGACAAGGGCAGGAGTAAGGGGCTTGTCACCTTGGGTTGATTATTCAAAACCCCCGCAGCACCGCAGCACACGGTACGGGGCATTATCCAAACACAGCGGCCTGGAGGTATGGGCCTGGAGGATGCTTGGTACCTGTCAGCAGGCATTGGCAGGAGGCTTTCGGAGCTGATGCAAAGCAGGGTGATTTCTCCCGGCCTCGGGCTCCCAGCCAGCCCTGCTGCGCACACAGCCAGGGCTCTGGGGCAGCAGACTCACCCATCGGGTGGGGCCCTGCTGTGCCTCGCTTGTCGGTCCGGCTCCTGCTGTACATTAAAGAGCGGAGGGGGGGGGGATCCCCAGTCCCACACTCCCATCATCAAATGGTGCCATTAAGTTCCCTCAGTCCTGCAGAGACGTGTCGTACTTTTCCTCTGCCACTAAAGCAACATTCAGATCCCTATATGGCACCTTCATTGGAAGAGACTACAAAGACTAATGCGATCTTGTTTAGGGAAGCACCAAAAAGCTGTAGAAGAGAGAGCAAGAAGCAAGCCGATTTTTGTTTTAAAAGATATTACCAGAGGACTCAGGAGAACACCTTGCCTGTTGCGTATCTCCACTGCTTGGCACAGAAATACAGCAGGCACATTCAAGCTTATTAATCTCATCTCTCTAGAAATCAAATGCTCTTTACAACAATGTGTTTTCATTACTTTTGAAATTTAATTTCTCGACAGAGTCTCCAGACACATCACATGTATTAGGGCCACTAACCACTCTAACCATTTTCCTTTCCTCCCTGCTAGGGAGTTCAGAATCAATTAAGTTAGATTTTGCCTGTCTTTTCTCCCCCTGCTAATTAGCAGAAGTTTCTGGATCTATGCATCCCTAGGAGGACAGAAAGGGCCCCCTTGGTTTCTCCTGTGAAAGTGGTAGGTGAGGTACCAGGGTCCCTGGTCCGGGCAGGCTGATGGCTAACCTCCTGCCTGACATGCCCACACACCTCCTCTCTCACTAATGAGACGAAATGCCTTCTCTCTGTGTATGAGTCCAAGGCGCTCACTTTTAGCCACCCATCCATACTTACTCACTTTAAAACTCCTTGCTCTTAAATGTCAAAGACAAATAAGAATATATAAGATAGGCCACTTCCTACCAAGTGAGTCATCTCTTCTGGATACAAGCCTGCTTCTGAAGATTTCATTCTAAGGTTTTCTTGTTAGGAGCAACTTTGAGCCAACAAAAGAAGCTCTAAGGGAAACAGGGCCCTGCTATAAGGAGTCTCATTTTATTTACTTGCTATAAATGTTCCATATTAGGATCAACGCCTGGAAGAGAACAAAACAAAACAAAATACTACTTGAGAGATTTTCAAGTTATGTCAAGTACATTTTTTTTTAATTTTTAGAGAAAGTCTATTAATACCTTTTGATTCAAACCTCAAACAGACCCACAAATAATAAATATCCCAGAACACTGTCTCAGAGGTACTTGTGCAAATGTAGCTCTGATAACCCCTTTTTCTCCTGGGGAAAATTCATTTGGTTTGAGGTGAGAAAGCAGTACAATGCCAAACCATATCTTATGGGTGGAGAGATTATGGACAAGTTGATGTTTCTAAGTTAGAGTCAGAACCAATGAAGAATACAATTTTCCTAGACACCAAAAAAACACAGGAATTCTCATTTGGTTCTGAAATTGAGCACGTGGATTTCTGTCTAAAAACTGAAAAATCAAAAAGTCAAGGAACATGAAAAAAGCTTCCAAAGGAACTTAATTTAGACTTCTACCTACATAATTATGGAACAATTTACAGGGAGACCATAATCGTTTTGGTTGGAAACCCAGACGCTCATATTTACTGATGATGTCATTGGGTTTCACCATCCTCTGAAGAGAGTTTCCAGAAATTAAACACCACAGAGCCAAATCTGATGGTCTCAAAGGGATCTCAATTTTGAGTATTATTAGTTTCTATCATTTCAATTAAGGAGCAGGAAAGGTGGAGACATCATTCCCAAGACATCTACACTCGGAGCAAGCATTTTGGAGATGTGGCTATGTTTTCCAAATTCTAAACTGGAACACACACTCTGACAACAGAACACAATATTTTCGATCAGAATTATCCAAGTAATCTAAAATGTGTGGCCGCCAGTCTTTCAGGACTTTCCCAGCGTAACCAACCAAGTCTGCCCAAAGGAAACTCACTGCCAAGTTGCGAGGAGCCCAGCTCAGAATGAGGGAATGTGAGCTAGGGGGCCAACATGAGCCGGCCGCCCCCGCTGAAGAACCGATGACAAAGCATGGTGAGACCAGCTCATTTGAAAAACAGTTACTGAAAGCCACCAGGTGCCAGGCTGCTCACATATATGCCTTCCCTGGTCGTGCCAAGGCAGAGTAGAGAATGTAAATGATACCATTCTGAGTTACCAGCTGACAGTCAAGGAAAGATGAGTCAAGGGGGGCAACCTGTTTCCTTCAGAGGAAGTAAGGCCAATGACATCAAAGAGGCTTCAAATAAAAACAGTGGTAACTCAAGCAGGCTTGCTCTTGTAAACATCTCCGGGCCATTTCACAGAACAAGAAAACCCAAAGCTTGAAATTAAGAGAAGAATGCTGGCCTCCCTGACTAATCCCAGCTTCTCCCGATCCCTCCTTTACTCAGCCCATTGGACATTCTTCTTGGGCTCCATTTCTAAATCCTCTTCGGCTGGGTGTATTTCATGCCTCCACTGAAACCACATGCTTGGGGAAGAAGGTAAATACCTCCTCTTGCTTCAGTCATGATTCCTTTTCCTCCTCCTTCAACCTCCTGCCTGCCGGGTGAGGTGGGAGAGATGGGAGGAGGCAGTCTGATCTAGAAAGAGCAACAGACCACTGCAAGCTGCATCCATTTTGCCTGCTCTGGTCCTCAGGTTCCTCATCCACAGAATGAGTAAATGGGTATGAGGACATCAAGGTCCTTCCCAGTTCCAGGAGCTCGCCACCCTGTTCAGGTGCTCAACACACACCACTTACATGCCAAGGTACTAACTACTGTGACACAGATTGCCTACCACAGTTTCAAGCCCAGGCAGTCATGCCTAGCACTACGCAGAGCAGAAAGCCAATAAATGGTGAGGAATGAAATTCTAGACGTAAATTTTGATAGCCTGGCCAGACATTAAGAAAACATTTCAAAGGAATCCGATGGCCTGGCAAAAACTCCCTCACAAGGTTAGAGCCAGGGAACAGGAGCGAGCTCTCACGGCCCGGGACTCCAAAATGTCTGGGGAGCAGGCGGGAGGCCTGTCCAAGAGGACAAGGCCACTTCATCAGGCTCCTGCTACAACAACCAGAGGTTTGTATCCACCACCAGTGGTTTATCCCAACTCTCCCTATCCCCCCAGGCAAGTTGAGTGGCTTGGAAAGGTTACCCTCAGGGGGATTCCTTCCCTTCTGAGGGTTCCTCTGGTGGTCCTTTTAGCTACGGTTTACCTTTCCACAGTTGTGTTTGTGTTCCCATAGCCAGTGGGCAAATGAATGAACTCAGATGCCTGTTTGCTGCTTGCCTAAGAGAGGCTCCATGCTCCAGGCTGAGATTAACCTACAAGGGACATTTCTAACTAGTCCGAGAATTAAGAAACATCCCTCTTCTTAAACCCCTGTTGTTTTTTTCCCCCCACCCAGGTAGCCCCTCTAGAGAGTATTCTCCTCCCAAGAAAAATAGCCACTGTACTGACTGAGTCACCATTATCAAAAACAGGACCATAGGAACGGGGAGGGGGGGCAGAGAAATGTGAAAGCACATTCTACTTACCATCGATTCACTAATCAGCAGTAACAACAGGGCTTCTTCAGTATTTTCTTGAGGACAAAAAATGCTGTGTAAAGAAAATCAAATTTTATATATGGCAATTTCAAAATCATATGAAATACATGACGAACAGTACTGAATATTAAAAGCTTCTAGATTTTTATGTAGAACTCACAAAAAATACTGTATCATCTGATGCTTGAATTAATTTGCTTATTTCTATGGTAATCCATGGAATTTATACATTTTAACTGTGCATAAAAACCACAGTAAAAGCCCAAATAACATATATGCCTATTATAGAGGCAGAAACTGAGATTGCTACAAACTGACATTATCTCAATGATAAAGCTTTCTCCTGAACCCATTCTGGGGGTATAGACTGTAGACATCTCACTAAGCAGTCCGCTTCTTACCTCTCACTAACTGCCACATCTTATATTGTCCTTTAGATGAAATAAGAGATTGGAAGCAATTTTAGAGTTTGAATCATTTCTAGAATACTGTAAGAATTTGGCAAGCTACCTTAATTAAACACACATGTTCTATCATGGGGTTGCATGCAAGAGCTAGCTCTCTTATTAATCTATTTTATGGAAGCTGGCCAAGCTCTAACATCTGGGATTAAAAGAAAGAGCTTTTACGCTCAGTGTTACTCAAGATTAGAGAACAACAATAACAACAACAAAATCCAAACACATGACCCCAATCTCCATCCTTTATAGCCTTTTTTTGGGGGGGTGCTTTGAGCAGTTTTAGAGACTTGCAGCATTTTTTCCTCTGTTCTAAAAGCTCTAGAATCCTTTGAGTAGAACTGAGAGTGTTATCACCAATTGAGCCAAACTCGATTTCTTTTTCACGGAATGGAAGAAGGGTGCAATAAAAATGAACTTGGTTAAAAAAAAAAAAAAAACAACTCAATGTTTTGGAGATGTTAAAATAAAGACTAAATTTACATCTTCCCAGTGCTAACATCATTTAATTTAAGAGATGGGATGATCCCCCATCCCCAAAATGGCAAAAAAGAAAAAATGTCTTCCACATCATTATAAATACTTGTTCTCTTTGAAGTGTTGGCAACTTTTATAGGGCATCAAAGGACCATGAAGAGCAAGACAGAAAAAGCACAGGGCCTAGTTCTCTTTCTAGACCTCTGACGTCCCTAGAGGTAAGGAGACCACCTGTGGAATGGTCTCCATTGTCCTCGCAGGGCTAAAATTTGATGAAAAGGCTAGTCTGTAAATGAAGAGCAAGATTCTGAGATTTGCAGAGAACTTCTTTAAACAAGTAGCTTGAGGGAGCGGAAGCTGGGTTTTTCAAAAGACAGAACTCTTCTTTCCCCTTCAATTCAGCAATAGAGCCTACAGGCTTTGAATGAAGAGCGCTCCCGAGTGCGTGCGTGCGTGCGTGTGTGTGTGTGTGTGTGTGTGTGTGTGTGTCTGCCCAGCAATCACTTCCTGATATTCTGGCTGTGCTTACATACCACTGGGACCTTAACAATCAAGCAGTAACACTGACTATTTTTTTCACGACTAACCAGTTCTGCATCGTCCAGATTAATTGAAAAGAAGAGAGAGCCCGTGCTAATTGTGACTTAACACCAGCCAATTCAGTCCATGGATAATCCCCAAATTCCATCTGAGCCATCCCGCCTGCTTAAATGCTAAGTTGTGTTATTTTTGCCAGAGCTGCTAACAAGTAGCACATTAACTGATTCTAATTCCACTTTCTCAACCCTTCCTTTTGAGGCAGGCGGGATGGGTACTCAGGAGCGTGGCAAACTCTCAGAGCTGGCAGGAAGAAGTGGGGTGTGAGAGGAGGAGGAAGGGCAGTTTTAAGAGACATGCTGAAAACTATACACCAGAACACCCCTTCCACTACGTGTAGATTCTCTAGACCCGTTTCTGGCCATTCCTCCCCTGTTCTCCATTGAAGGGGAGGTGGAGCTCAGGGTAGATGGTTGAAATCATTGGGCTCTTTCTTTTTGACAATCTCCTCTGGGGGCCCAAGAGCCTCAGGGCAGATCCTGGGGGTGCCCAGGCCTCAGCCTTGTGGAGTGGAAAAACCGGGGCCCTAAACCCACAGGACATTGACTGGAGGGCAGGTGCAGAGTAAGAAGGGACAGAGAGAACACAGGGCTCATCGACAGTGAGGACACGCTGCTGGAGGACAGACTGGTGGCCAGCAGAGGAGGTGGCAGCACAGTCCTGCTGAGCAAAGACGGAAGGGCTACCTTCTAAACCCAGCCACCTTACTAACTCCTGGACTGACCTTCAAGCAAGTTGCTCATTTTCTTACTTTGGATGAATTTACCTATTCATTGTCTGACTCTACACAAAAGGAACAAGGGCAAGAATCTCCATTCATGAACAGTGTTCAGGACCTTGCCCAGGCTGCCAGATCACAGTCCTTTCTAAAAATTTTCTCAGATGGGTGAAAAATGTCACTGTATGTGGTAGAAGCCATCCTACAAAAGAAATTAATCCAATTTTATCCAACTGCAGTTCATCTTTCTGTCATCTTTAGCTATTACACAACCAACGACGAGCTGGATGTCTGGAAGTCAACGGCACCACCCAGGTGTCAATGCAGACTCTATTTAGGTGCAAGGAGTGCTCTGAACACCTCCATCCCACGAGAAAGTTATGTATAAATGACATTAACTCCAAGGCCCAGCAATGGTGCCTTTCTAGGTTTTTCCTTTTTTTTTATTTTTTAAGATTTATGTATTTATTTTTAGGGAGAGAGAATGAGCGGGGGGAGGGGCAGAGGGAAAGGAGGGAGAGAATTTCAAACAGACTCCCCACCAAGCAGGGAGCCCAACTCAGGGCGCAATCCCACGACCCCTGAGATCACGACCAGAGCTGAAATCAAGAGTCAGACACTCAATCAACTGAGCCACCCAGGCGCCCTTGCCTGTCTAGTTTTAATATGCCTTGCCTGGTTGTGATACCCCTAGAGAATTCCCAGAGAAATACAGCCTCCGAACCACAGCCCGTGGATAAGAGCTAAAGAGTCAAAGCCGACAATGGCTGCAGCTCTGCCCCATCCCCAAGTCGCACCGTTTAACATGCTGAGGCAGAAAGTACCTCGGTCTCAGGTTTATGTGGAAGGACAAGCGTTCCAAGAAAGGAGAAGGACTTAAATTAATCATTAAGAGTACCTGTTGACTATGAGGGATCAGCTAGTCCAACCTGAGGATCACCAGGCACACAATTCCACACAGGCCGACTCCCCCTCGTGACAAGAAAGAAGGATCCTTCATTCGGATCAAGTCCACCGAGCTATGCTCTAGAGTGGACTGGGTGAGTGACACAAAGCATATGGCCTGGCCTGAAGGCTTCTGCATTCCTGGGGAGAGGACTGGCCCTCCACCATGACCGGAAGGAGGGCCGAGTTCGCTCGAGGTCAGCACAGGGCGGCACATAGGGGGCACAGAAGGTTGTTCACGGGGCTTCAGTGCTGCCATCAGGTGTTTTTCTTGACCCTTCAACGCCCTCATCTTCACACTTTCAACAGTGTCCTCATCGTTACGCAAACCCGGTGCACTGGCTCAGGGAGGTTCCGACCTGTGTTTAGAAGTCCACGATAGTCACTCTCTCCCGTGGGGCCTACAAAGGAGCTCGGCACGATGTCTGGCTCCCGGCTTTCAGCAAATGTTTTCATCATCCACTTTCTGGCACAAGAGTAGTTTTTAATCTTCTTTCTTACTTTGTGCTAACCATGAAGTCTAATATGCATTTAATGATCTAAGCCATCTCAAGTATTTTTTTTACAAGGAGGAATACAATAGCAGAAAGATACACCTGATGTGTATGCACTAAGGAACATGTGCAAGAATGTTCATTGCAGCACATTCTAGAAGGAGGAGTCAGATAAACACGTAAACAAACAAAAAATCAATGTTTTAGGTGTTATGATGAAAAATAAATGAGCTCATGTGATAGAATATGCTCGGAAAGAAGGACAGTTAGATTAGGTGATTGGGGAATATCTTTCTGAGAAGATAATAGCCAAGCTATTTGGGCCAGGGCCTGAATGAGATGGAAGCAGCCCCAAATGAGAAACAACTCTAACATCCATCACGAGTAGAATGGATCAATATATTGGAGTATATATGGAATACTACATAATAATGGAAACAAACTCTGGCTGCATGCAGAAATATGGATGAATCTCTCAAACGTGATATCAGACAGAAGTTACACAGAAGAGTTTTTAATGTATTATTCCATTTATATAAATTTCAAAATGGCCTAAACTAATTATTGGGATAGAATTCAGGATGGTTACCCTTGGGTAGCGGGTAGTAATCAGGAGAGGGTACAAAGAGGGTCTCAAGGTTTCTGGCAACGTCTGTTTCTTGATAAGGGTGAAATTACATGGATGTGTTCACTTGGTAAAAATTCATTCAAAGTTTTATACTTTCGGTTTGTGTACTTCTCTCAATATGTGTTATGCGTCCGTAAAAAGCTCACTTAAAAAAATAAATAAGCAGGGGCGCCTGGGTGACACTGTCAGCTAAGCGTCCGACTCTTGGTTTCCATTCAGGTCATGATCTCAGGGTCTTGCAGTTGAGCCCTGCGTTGGGCTCTGCTCTCAGCAGGGAGTCTTTCTCCCTCTCCTGCCCCTCCCTCACACACTCTCTCTCTCAAATAAATAAATAAATAAATAAATAAATAAATAAATAAATAAATAAATCTTTAATAAATAAATAAGCAAAGGTCAAAAAATTCCTCACAGAAACACCTAGAAGGAAGTAAAGAGGCCCATGGCATGTGATCCCTCCCCTCTTTCCTATCTAGGATTGTTAACATTTGATTTCCTTTCAAAATTCAAAATGGGGAGAGAATGAGTATCCTGTTTCCACTTCAGGTCCAGGCCACAGTGACAAGGAGTGGAGTTTTCTGACAGACCTCACTTTTCTGTTATATTCCATTATGACCAGCTATTCTGAATGGTCCTTGTGATCTGCTGGAGCTGGAAGGCTCTGGGCCTTCTAAAGTCTGTTCTGTGCTCATATTTCTCATAGGAAATTGAGGAGGGGGAAGCGTTTGGGACTACTGGCCAAGATGGGGTTGAATCATTATCTGTGGACTCCCTTTTTCACCTGCCAAGGAGCATAACTAAATTGGTGATAACATCCTTTTTGCCATGGAGTTGACTAATCAGATAGCCCTGGTGATCAGGGAGCCCCAAGACAAGTATAATCCCAACAGGCTTTCTTTCTCTCTTTACTAATAAACCAGAAGTATTATTGTGAATACACAAAACTAGAAAAGTTCAAAACTGATGGTGATAACTGAAGGAATAAGGATCAGTGTGGAAATTAATTAAATAGTGAATAAAGACACAATAAAAAAAATGAACAAGACCAAAGTTGGTTCTTGAAAAAAAATCAATGAAATTTGACAAAGGTTGGCTTAGCATCTGAAAATCAATTAATGTAATACTTTACATCAACAGAATAATGGACAAAACGTACATGATTATCTCAATAGATGCAGAAAAAAACACTTGACAAAATTAAATACCCTTTCAAGTTAAAAGGACTCCACAAACTAGTGTTAGAAAGGAACTTTCTCAACCTGATGAAAGATATTTATGAAAACCCACAGCTAATTTCACACTTAATGGTGAAAGACTGGATGCTTTTCCCCTCCTAACATCAGGTATAAGACACGGATGTCCACCACTCCTTGCCACTTCTATTCAACATTGTACTGGAGGTTCTAGCCAAAGCAATTAGGGAAGAAAATGAAATAAAAGCCATCTAAGTTAGAAAGGAAGAAGTAAGACTACCTCTATTTGCAGATGACATGATCTGGTATGTGGAAAATCCTAAGGAATCTAAAACACTATTTGAACAAATGAACAAGTTCAGCAAGATTGCAGTATACAAGATCAATACAGAAAATCAACTGTATTTCTCTATACCTGCAATGAACAAACCAAAAATGAAATTAAGAAAATAATTCCACTTATGATAGCATCCAAAAGAATAGCATGCACACACACAGTAAGTTTCATGAAATAAGTAAAAAACTTATACCCTGAAAACAACAAATCACTGTTGAAAGAAATTAAAGAAGACCTAAATAAATGAAAAGACATCCCATGTTCATGAATCAGAAGACTCAATATTGTTAAGATGGCAATACTCCTCCAAATTGATCAATGGATTCAATGCAATTCCTACCAAATCCTATCTGCCTTTTCTTTCCTTTCCTTTCCTTCTTTCTTTTTTTTGCAGAAATGGACAAACTGATACTAAAATTCGTATGAAAAAGGCAAGGGATTGGGGGATGGGGGTGACAGTTTAGGGGCACTAGGTTTATTTTTGGGGTAAGAAAAATGTTCTAAAGTTGATTATGGTGACAGAAGCACAATTATGTGACTATATTAAAAGTCACTGAACTGTATTTTTTTTTAAGTTTTTTTTTATTTATTTAAGTGATCTCTACATCCCATGTGGGGCTTGAACTCACAACCCCAAGATCAAGAGGCACATGCTCTTTTGACTATGCCAGCCAGGTGCCCCCTGAACTGTATACTTTAAATGAGTGAACTGTATAGTATGTGAATCACATCTCAATAAAATGGTTAAAAAAAAAACAAACTGATTCTATCTGTGTGGAATGAAATTGTGACTCAGCAACCAGTCCTGGTATGGAAATCTCCCTTTTACTAGTAATTGCATTTTCTAGATCTTCATGTTGCCTCCATAATTCTCCTTGGGCAGCTGGGGAAGTTGATGTCAGGAGAGTGACAAAGTCTGAGTGGTTCACAAAATAAAGGAGAAATGGCCAGCATTATGAGCTCTTCTGCCTTCAACGGGTGAGGCCACGTTGGAATAACACCCAAAGAAACACAGAGCTCTACCCCAGCTTGATTAGGGGAGGGAGCAGGAGATGAGTTTCTCAATATACCTGGCACCTTATATACCTGTCTATTAAGCAGCATAGAAAGCAGGAAAAAAAAAAATCTCAAGCCTATTTTTAGTACATAAATTTCACTTTCAAAATGAACCCCAAACCTGCTTCTAAATTGTCCATAATGAGGGGTCACCATTTTTAAAGTGAGAGTTTGAGAATTGCTAGAACAGATGGTCTGTGAATCCAGATAAGGACTAAGGAGTAAGCACAGGCTGTGAATTCAGCAAACTCATGGTTCAACAAGGCCATAAAAAAGGGGGATTAAATTAAAAGGGGGATTAAATGAAAACTAAAATAAACCTAGGGAAAAAGCTAAGAATATGCTTACTTGTCTGAATCCATATAAGAAATGCAGTCTGAACGAGAGGAGGATGAGGGACAGAAATGCCAGGGTCAACGTAAAGGGATTAAGAGGAGGCTGCCTGCTGGAGAAATGCTGTCCCCTTTGAAAAGGCGACAATCATTTCCAGAAGTGACACATGCAATAAGCATCTAGTCACCCTCCCCTCCCCCTCGCTTTGGGGGCCTTAGAAGCAGCTGCCTGCAGTCTCTCTGCCATTTTTCCAACTTGATAACCAATGTGGAAGGTTTCCATATTGATTCATACGTGCCCCCTTCCCCTCATGGAGAGATTCTGAAGAGCCATCATGCCTCATCCTTGCGGGAACCAGCCAAAATGGGAGGGTGAGACTCTAAGGGGAGGAATCAAGAGTGAGTCAACAATCTCCTGTCTCCTGGCCCCTCATGGTCTCTGCCTGCCACCCCCCACTCCCTATTCCCCAACCTGGGGAAGGCCCACGCCAAGGCTATAAAGGTTCCCTAGCCCACCTTCCTCCAAGGTGGCCAAGTCCCAGATTTAAAACTTAAAAACATTAAGAAGTTCTAAAGAGACATCGCCTTCCAGTCACTTAAAAATTATTTAATTCTCCTTCTTGTAGCTAATTCCATTTAAAACAAATCTGCAAATAAAAGGATCAAGGAATTGCTGAAGAAAAGAAAAAAGGCTAATTCTGGCTTACAAACAGCTTTGTCACTGATTGTTGGATAATGCTGGGGTTCTTACAATAAATAGAGAGAATCCCAAAGACCAACAGTGATGGCCAAGAATAGTAGCCAAGCACTGAGAGGAGAGAATTTTCCTACTTAAAACGTGCCCACTGGTGCACAGATATTCACTGAAGTTACTAAAAGTAATGCTGTATCTCCATTAAATTGGCCAATGAGACTTGTCTGTCTGGTTCTCTTTTAGGGGAAGAATCTGCCCCTGAATTTCTACTCATCGTTGAGTTTTTCCGAAGTTTTCCTCCCATCCCCTAACCTACAAATGAGGACAACAATGGCCATACTTCTCTCCTGAGTAGACGCGGGCTTTCCGAGTGAGGATGTAGGTTTTTGTGTTTACTCCTTTCCGGAGAGGATCGTCCAGAGGTGACTGGCAGGGTGGGTCCTCCAGAGGGTTCCAGTAGCTCTGTTCACACATACCCCGCAACAAGATCTCCGCCAATTGCCGGGCTATTGTCTGGGAACACAAAGGAGCAAAGACACAGACGTGAGTCTATTCTGTATCATTCATTCACTCATTTGCTCATTCAATGTTTTCCAGGCATCACTTCATGCCAGGCACTATTCCAAGACTCATGATTAAACATTTTTACTTTTCCGATGAACATTCTATCAGTTGATGACAAAAAAAGAAAAGGAAAGAAAATACACTAAGGTATTTGAACCATTTTAAAAAATAAGTCTGTGCCCTTTGAGCCACCCTGCCTCTGACACTGAAACGACTGAAACTTTTAGTTCAGCTCTTTCCCAAAAGCTCTTATCATAGATGAACTGCACATATTTTCATTACCTCCCAAAAGATCCCTGCTAAAACCCAAACTTGGCAAAAAGCTGGTGCTCGGGGCGCGTGGGTGGTTCAGTCGTTAAGCGTCTGCCTTCGGCTCAGGTCATGATCCCGGGGTCCTGGGATGGAGCCCCGCGTCAGGCTCCCTGCTCGGTGGGAGGCCAGCTTCTCCCTCTCCCACTCCCCCTGCTTGTGTTCCCTCTCTCGCTGTGTCTCTCTCTGTCAAATGGATAAATAAAATCTTTAGAAGAAAAAAAAGCTGGTGCTCAACCTAGATGATATTATTCCTGAAAATAAATAAATAAATAAATAAATAAGCTCTTCATTCTGATAAGATGGCATCCAGAATAGATTTCTGGAATGCCTTCCCTCTTTGAAGTGCCATGGGCCAGTCCCATGGTGGCCCCATCCTGGGACTCAGCACCTGAGCACCCTGTTCTCAATGCACCCTGGGCCTTCCAGCCCAAAGGTTACTGCTGGCCTGCGCAAAAGAGAAACCAAGGTGGCGAGGGTGGCTACTGATCAAGAAAGACCTCTTTTCAAAGCTGGATAGGTATCTCTTTTCTCACTGAGAAAACCCAGACATATCTGGATCTTGTCATCCTAAGTTAGACACAGATTACTATGCTTTTCAAACTCTCTGTACTAGAACAGTACCCGTCTGATGAATGGGAGGAGGGGGCATATGGCATCTACTAAGAGACATTTTGTTAGCTGATGCATATCGGTTCACTTACCTCATAATCTTCCAGTGATAAAGAAGAGAAGTAAAAACAAACAAACAAACAAACAAACAAACAAAAAACCCCACAAAATCTCCCTGAGAACAGAAGCAAGTGCACTTCAGGGTGGCCCATGCTACCCCACGATCAGCCAAAGATGGCAAAATAAAACTTTAACCATCAGGTTTTTCCACAAGGTTTTCACATTCTTTGGAAAATGCAGGCAAAGAATGCTGAACTTCCCTAAGAGTGAGACTTTTTAAATAAATATGTTCCAGAAGAGAACTTTGCTAGATTTTCATCCACGTGAAATATCCTAAAACACCACAAGGAAACTTAAATGCAACCAAATCACTGGCTTAGTGGCTTCTGATAACCACTGGGTAAAGGCAAATTTTCTTGATTATTCCCAAGTAAGACCCACTGGCTTTAATGTCTATAAAAATGTGAAATTAAATGCACTCCTATCATTCCCAACTGAGCCATCTGTAAAGATCCTCATAAGAACACAATTTTCAGGACCTAAACAGTTCCTGCACTGTTTTCTTAAACCTTTCATTATAGTTTCATTTCGATCTCCCTGCAGTCATATAAGCTAATGTCTTCTGCTGGAACCATCAACTGGCAAAAATAACCTCCACTCACTAGAGCAGAGAAAAAAAAATGTCAAAGGAATAAAAATGAAAAAGGAGCTTCATTTTCTGGATATACCTGCCATGGAGGGATGCTAAAGTTGTAAAAATCTCTGCCCTCCACAGTTTGCTTGTCCACTATGAGACAGCTCATGCTAGATATCACTTTACCTCTGGGTATTAACCTTCCAGAGAGACTTTTAAAATGAGGTTTTGATGTGATTGCATATTTTAAACGTGTCACTCCACCACTGCACTAACCAATTAGGAAGGATGTCTGGCTGTGTGCATTGACAGCTCAAATGAAGTTCAGAACACGAGATAAATATGAGAAATGACCAGCACAATCACCAATATTGATCAGACATTTTACTTTTTATACTTGGGTTTTATATGCTTGCCATTGAAATGCTTACAAATTGTTGGTAACTATCAAATAAAGTCAGAAGGAAAGGAAGGGGAGGAAGGGAGCCAGAAAGAAGTCAAACTTTAATGTATAAACTTGGTCATTAAGTCCGTTTTGTATGTATTTTTTTAATTGTGGTAAAATGTACCTAACCTAAAATTCACCTTTTTAACCATTTTAATGTATAACCCAATGGCACTTAGTACATTCACAGTGTTGTGCAACCATCACCTCTATCTGGTTCCAGAATATCACCCCAAGAGGAAGCCCTGTCCCCCTCTAGTGGTCACTTTCCATTCCCTCCTTCCAAAGACCCTGGGAACAACTAATCTGCTTTCTGTCTCGCAGATTGGCCCATTGGGGACATTTCCTATCAACGGAATCCTATACTATGGGGCCTTTTTGTGTCTGGCTTTTTCACTCAGCATCATGAGTTCAAGGTTGACCCATGTGGTAGCCTGGATCAGTGCTTCATTCCTTTTTGTGGCTGAATAATACTCTCATGGGTGGACATACCACGTTTTGTTTATCTAGACATCAACTGATAGAAATTTGGATTGTTTCCATCTTTTGGCTAGCATAAATAGTGCTGCTATGAACATTCACGTACAAGTGTTTGTTTGAACACCTGCTTTCAGTTCGTCAAAGTATTTATCTAAGAGTGCGGTTGCTGTAAATGGACTTGTAAATCCTTCTCAGCTATGGTCTCAGCCCAGACAGAGTTTACAAAGCAACTTTTCCGTTTCATAAGAGTGTCATAAATTTGCAATGATCAACTAATCTTTAAGGAATCATATAGTTGTGAGCAGCATTAACTGGACAAGCTTTCTGAGGGCTAGTGTAGACCAAGATACCAGTCAATAAGACCCATGAAGTGCTTCCCCACTAGGGAAGGCAAAGAATCTGTCATGGAAACGAGAAAATAAGATTCTTGGGTCCTGCCCCAAACCTACTCAGTTGGCATTTCTGAGGTCAGGAATAGGGATGTGCATTTGTTCAGAGTTCCTCAGATAATTCTGATGCACACCTTTGGTTAAGCACTCAAGGAACTGCAAGCAGTTCAACCAAGGTCACCTGAGACTCATCAACCAAGACCAAAGGTCTACTTACTTGCACCACAAATCCAACATAGAGAGGAAGTGACCTCCCTCATGTCAACACTAACCAGTTAACAGCTGAAAATGTCCAGGGGCAGCTCCAGTCTACCCAGACTTCTTTGGAAGCCTCCTCACAATACGTCTCAGAAAAAAGAAAATAATAACTGAAGAAACCTCTCTCGCTTCCTGACATGTCTTTATTTGGAATCCCACCTCACAGGATTTTTAGAAGTTAAAAGTACATTGATCTGAATATCAGAAACCTTAGGCAATAATGGAAGATATTCTCTAATTCTGTGAAGAATAATGTTGAAGTAAGCAGCAGGCAGATGCCCACAGAATATTCAATGCACTCACACCTTCTAATGGGAGAAAAACATCAACAATATGACCAAATGCTCCATATTTAAGCAATTTAGGAAGATTGGCTTTTTAATCAGCTTTTAAAACAATTATAAGAACACTTGCCAATATCATCAGTTACTTTAATTGTGCTTCTAAATCTTAAAAGAAGCTGTTCATGCTGACCAGGCAAGAAGTTTTATGAAATCTTGGGAGGAGGTCAATTTGAGAGAAAAGACACTTGGCAACAATTTTTATCCATATTTTTTCAGTTTTTTTTTCCTTAAAGAGCTCTACAAATCAAAATGTCTGGTTTGAACTTCTTAAGGCACCCCAAATCACATCAATATATAAATAAATACCAAAGACCAAGTAAGGTCTTGGTTGCAGGTGTGGAGTATAAAGTTGCTCCTCTTGGACCCCCCCGGCTAATTCTAGGAAAACTTATTGCTTTGTCATCTGGCCCCACGAGTTGGATATCTGCCTCCTAAAACTCTAGAGACACCAAAATGAAGATACAGCCTCACTTCCCAGGACAGGAGTCACTGAGCCTGGCCCAACTGAAAACTCTCCCACAGCACTGAAAGGGGTCATGACGATGGGAGGACGACGCCATTGGTAACAAGACAAAAGAAGGTGGGATCTTGCGTGGGGCTGTTATGTCCGTTGTGACATGCGGTATTTGCTTCGTCTCTGGTGAGCACTAGGCCTTCACCCAGACAGGCCTTGGCTATGGCTCTGCAGAGCAAGCTATGGAGGTATCAGCGATCACCTCCCCAGCCAGGAAAGTTCAAGGGCTAACAAGGAAGAGAGAGAACTTACGCCAACAACACAGCCAAACTGCTGATGAACCAGGTTATCTAACTAGCTTTTCTATTTCTCCTCTAAGTTGTAGCATCAATATAATTAGTCAAACAACGAGGTACTCTTCAGGATCCAATCTGATTTGCTCTGGCTGGGTTTTGGTGTGAAATCATTAGTGTACAACCAACCCCTTCACCACACTAGCGTCTGGGAGGGCTTACATTCTGCCTGCCTTACAGGATGCATTTCTTCTGTTTCAAGAGGTAGCACGACCAATAAGTATATAAAAAGATGCTCAACATCATTAGCCAGCAGGGAAATGTAAATTACAACCACAATGAGACAGTATTTCATACATACTAGGAAGGCTAGGACTAAAAAGACAGACAATAACAAATGTTGTCAAGAATATGGAGAAATTGGAGACCTCGTTAACTGCTGGTGGGAATAAAAAATGGTGCAGCTGCTTTGGAAAATCATCTGGCAATTCCTCCAAATGTTAAACGTACAGCCTGTCCACCTAAAACTTGTCCACATGTCCACCTAAAAACTTGCATAAGAATGTCCATAGCAGCATTATTCATAATAGCCAATACACGGCAACAATCCAAATGTCCGTCAACTGATGAACAGATACATAAAATGTGTTATATCCATGCAGTGGAATAGTATTTGGTCACAAAAAATGAGTGAAGTGCCGATCCATGCTCCAACATGGGTGAACCTTGAAAATACCATGCTAAGTAAAGCAGGTCGGTACAAAAAGACTCCCTAGTATATAATTCCATTTACATGAAATGTCCAAGATAGGCGAATCCATGAAAGCAAAACATAAATGAGCGGTTGCCAGAGGCTGGGGGAAAAGGAGAAAATGGGGATTGACTACGGATAGGTATGGGGTTTCCTTTTGGGGATGAGAATGTTCTGGAATTAAATATTAGTGATGGCTGAACAATGTGGTGAGTACACTAAAAACTACTGACTTTAAATGGATGAGCTGTGTGGTGTGGAAATATTTCAACAAAGCATGTATACACACACACACACACACACACACACACACATATATGATGGAGGGGGAGAGGGAGGGGGGTGGAGAGATAACACCTAAAGTGCCCTTCTGGTCTCAATCCAATTATCCATCGCACTCACCATTCGCAGGTTTTGCGTTGTTCTTGTTTCTACGGCTCTGAGGATCTCTCTAAATCTCCCAACTCCTCTCGTCAAGTTCCTGTGTGCACACAGAATTTGACAGGGTTTCCATCTGGCGTGCATTAATATTAAATATTTTATACACATATTTCGATGCATTTTGTCTACATAAAAGCTGTTGGTTCGATTTTAAGCAAACAATTATTCTGCACATGCCTGTCCATCTTTGCTCGACTCTGAAAAATTTGGCCTGGGACTGCTGGTCTTTTGCGCTTCCACAATCAAATTTTTTTCAAGGGGGAAAAAAATCTGAAAATCAGTTCTGAAGCCAAAAGAAGAAGAGGAGGAGGAGGAGGAGGAGGAGGAGGAGGAAGAAGAAGAAGAAGAAGAAGAAGAAGAAGAAGAAGAAGAAGAAGAAGAAGAAAAAGGAAGGAAGGAAGGAAGGAAGGAAGGGAAGGTAGATAGGTAGGTAGATAGATAGATAGATGTAAGGTATCTTGCAAGAGTCTACCTTCAACCTTACAACGGCTCCATGGTTTTCCTGCTCTACTGAGTGGTGCTGAAATCTGTTTTCACTTAAAAGGTGGGCGGCAAGAGGGTACGGGAATACTCACAAGGCACTGAAAGCAGTGTGCTAAAGGCTTCCTATAACTTGCCATTTTTATGGGCAGGACAAAGATAACAGGTATGAAAACTGAGGGGCTCCACCAAGCAATCACTCTGCATCTCTGAGAACCTAAATCACTGCCCAAAAAAGCCACGAAGCCAACCCTCCCCCCGCCCCCACTCTGCACCGACAAGAAGAAGCAAGTGGTCAAAGGCCCCTTCTGCGAGCAAATGCATGAGGACTGGAACCCTGAGCCACCCGACTCGGATGGGAACGCATCTCCTCTCACTGCCCCACACCTCACACTGGGACATTTTTGGTGACACATTTCAGTAAAGGACAGACAATTCTTTAGTAACATCCTGGTCACTATATCCAGCCCCCACTTGTAGTCCTCCCTGAAAGCTGTGCTGGTCCCGTTCTGCTGGGAACACTTCCCAGTCAGTCCCTTTACATTGAGCGCTACCACCACCTACGACATAACTCGGTGATATTTATAACTTGCTCATTAGAACACATCTCATCTTTCCAAAAAACCACAGAGCAGGTCAGCCAGGACAGACCTGTCAGCCGCCTCTGCGGGCTGTGGCAGGAGCTCTAGGTATTTGACTCTCTTCTTGGATGACATTTTAAATCGTGCAAAGGTATTTAATCAAACTGAATGTGGGTTCTGTGTGCTACAAGCCCCCACAAGGGCTATTAATTTGTGTCCTCTACCTACACGACATCCCAGGGCTCTCATTCACAAGAACAGCCTAATAGTTTATTGGCGTTCAATATATCAATACTCCCATATCCCTCTCACCCACACATATCAGATGATTCTTGCTGGCACAAAAAGAGATGCTGGTGCTCAGGACTCCAAGCAGTGCTAAAGGAACTCTAACAGAGACGTGAATGAAAATTAGGTAATGGGCCCTAGGACACGCAATCTACTCTGCTTTCCCCTTCGTTTGTTTTTATGGGATCCATGTTCACAGGCAACAAAGTACATTTGCTTTGGACTGAAGCTCGGCTCTCCTAAGTAACGGGGGGAAGGAAACAGCTATAACTAATCAGGGATGGGCGTGGACACAGTGGTCTAATTTTGCTACAGAATCGCAGACTACGCTCCTACCATGTGTACAAGGAACAGCAGTCTGAACTGTATGACATACAGGTGGGCCTGAGGGAACGTAACTGGAGACCCAGGTTCACAGGGCTGTTTTACCAGGGTGGCAATTAGCTCTGAAAAGGCAGCAACAAATCTAAATAGGATAAGCCAGGGTAGGCTACAAGATAGGCACTGGTCATTTGGACTGTCTCTCACGCCCTCCTGGCAGAATGAGATACTTATCCAGTTACAAAAGCATAGAATTTTCTAGCTATCCACGAGCCAATGCAATCTAGTCCGTTATGACATAGAAGTGAAATGGCTTGCTCAGGTTCACAAACCCAGTGAGAGAGTGAGCTGGAAGCTTTCTACTAGATTCTATCACGTCAGCTCTAAAACTGTAGTGCAGCTCTAGAAGAAAGAACAAACTACAAATACAAGAGCTCAGGTCTCTGGCTTATATCACTTATATGCAAATTACTTCATATATACATGATACATATTTTACATGTTCCAGTGATCACGGCTAACGAGATGCTGCTCCTAGGAAGTGGCTCAAAATTGGAAAGAAAATCCGTCGGCCCAGGTGAAGCAGTGTGGTGTCCAGGGTACTGCCTCGGCGGCCTTAGAAGAGAAAGGATAGCTAGAGAAATTCAACTCCCCTCTGAGGGCCGGCTGGCTCTCCCGCGCGGGACCGAGGCCCCCTGCTGGAGGACTGGAGGAAGTGCCCGGGACTCAAGGGGGCGCCCCACAGGAGGAGGCGGGTCCGCCACTGGGGGCTTCGTCCCAAGGTAGGGACAGTGGCCTTGAAGCAAATGCTGTTTTTCTCAACCGTTTCCAGATTATTTCTGGAGAGAGCCTAGGATTCAGAATCAAATTCTTCCTCAAGCTCTGGGAGGTCCTGCTTGTAAACAAAGGATCCACGGTAACCCCCGAAGGCCTGACACCTTGCCAAGCAAACAAACGTGGCGCCCTCAGGAACAACCACAGATCAGTCCGACAGCAGGGAGAAGGGGCTGGAGGGGAAAGATTTTAAATATTAGAAGAGTAAGAAAGTTTCCCAAATGCAAAAACATCTCATTTTCAGCAACTCCTATACCATTCATACATTTTTTTGAGTCACATAATTTTATTCAACCAATCATTTCCACCATTGCCAGGAGAGCAGAAAAAAAATTTTTTTAAGCTAGATGGATAATCATGATAGAAAGGAACAAAAAGGGGAAATTAACTTATAAGAATTACATTCTAACTGCTATGAAAGACTCCAATTTGAGGGAAATAAAAGCCACATGATTGCTTTCCTGTCTCTAAACTATTAGTTTATTCTTAAAATGTTGAGGTCGGTAAATATCCAGAATGAACTGCTGCTTAAAAACTCCACTCCAAAATGAAGACGAGGGAGCCAGGGACTCTCCCTGGTTTTGAGGGTTTCCAAAGACCCTTCACATTAGGTCATTTATTCCATTTCAACATCCCTGACTGAGAGAGCGCAATGATGTCAGAATTCATTATGGCAAACTATTCTCAAAATGAGTGTTCCTGCCAGCCTATGAGCAGCAGGCACTTTGGCAAGCTGTCAGAACGTGGGGTTCACCTCCCGCATCTTGCTTGGCTAAGCTTCCTGAGCCGGGTGCGTGTCCCTCCGTGTGGAACGGTTCCCAATGGCTCAGCTATTATTAGGGAGAAAGGAAGGGCCTGCGCATCCCCTGAGCACCAGCTGCTTGTCCCCTGCTTTCCCTTGCCAACATCCCTGTCCGTCCCCGACCCTGCGCAGGGGGCTCAGGCCAGTCCCCCCGCCTTGCTCATGTTCAAACCCAGGCTACCTACTGCTCTGTCTTGACAGGAGAGCCCACCCACTTTTCACAGGGACACACTTGACTCCTGGTGACCTATTTGCACTTTTTCTTCCCTCCTTTTTCCATCGGGTTTCATCATCGTCTTTCCTCCTTCCAGGTCTCATCTGCTGGCTCTTAGGTCAGGGCAAAAGCATGACTTCCTGAGGACACTGAGGGAGGCAGACCCGCTAGCACTTGGCCTCCCTCTTGACACTGTAGTGCCTGCAGCAGCATTTTTGAAGGCCGGTCTCTGGAATTTGTAACTAAAGATCAATTACAGAACAAGTCAACACCATAGATCTCTCAGAGCCTAGAAATCGTGTGGCTTTTCTGGGGTCCCTTCTTACCAACTAGCACTCCTGAAGCTCTTAAGCAGTAGGTCATTTCAACAGTTACTAAGCACTATTGTATGTCAGGTTCCAGGCTCATCCCTGAGGACATGCTGGGGAGCAAGGGACCCCATCTCACCTCAGGTTGCTGAGAGGGCTACACCCCCCCCCCATAAGAACGTAGGCACCTTGTGGACCAAGATCTGTGTTTTGCTCATCTACATATCCCAAGCCCCTCAAATAGGGCCTGGCATACAGCAAGTGCTCAATATATACTTGTTGAGTGTATTTCAGAACCACTGTGAGTCAAATAAACCAAGACCAACAAGGGGATACATTTTCTACCTGTTCCTTGTCCCCTTCTTTCTCACTGCACTGGACTGGGCAGCCCAGCAAAGAACTCTCTTAAACAGAACACATCACACATGTGCTCGGTGGTGTTGCAGCATGGGTCCCGCGGGAGCAGTGACACCTGCCTGACCAAGTGACACAGCTGGGCATGCCTGGCCTGACAGCTTTGAGAGGGCTGCACAGATCATAAGGATTTTGAAGACCTTTTTAAAAATCTTCCAGACATTTTGGGCGGCTTTCCTGCCCATGTGCCTTTATACATGCTCCTCCCTGTCTGAGGTGGTCTGGGAACTGTTAGTTACCCTTCCAGACCTGGGTCAAAGGCCACCCTTGGGAACGGTTTCCCAGCTTCCCTAGGAAAACACAGGTACTACTTCCTGGGTGTTCCCAACAAGCTCGCACATATTTTGAGCAACACACTGATTTTCATTTGTATTTATGTCTGTTGGCCCACCAAACTGTGATCACCTTGGAAGCAACGGCCCTCTTTGTCCCTACTGCTACACAGAGCTAACCAGGCACCCGGTGACACCTGGGAAGCTGGGTGCCCTCAAAAGAGAGAAAAGAGTGAGCGCCATCTTATATTCTGAAATCTCTTTCCCTATCTCCTTGCTGAAGAGTTTTCTCAATTACAAACGGGACCTAAAGCAGACACTTCTTACTTCATGAGATCCACCCCAATGGCATGCTAGCCACTGTCAACACAGCCCCAGAAAACCAGAAATAAACCACGCTGCTCTAGGTCACTTGTTCTTAGTTCTCGGGCTTGAGAATTGCTTCCTCTTCATTTACATAACCTGAGTAGCACCTATTTGGAAAAAGTCTGAAATCAAAACCAGATATCCAGATCTGGAAAGTGGG